GTATTTAAAAATCATTGAAATCGGTGAGGACGTGCCTATTCTCTGTTTACCATACATTCGTCGAAATCAGAAATGAAAAATTCTCAATTAAAACTCGTGTCCGTAGAGCAGAACCTAGATAAGGTAATTTTTAAAAAATTTTTTATTCTGACGAAAGCATGGTTTCCTAAGTTTTTTTAACGCGAGGAACGCGAATCTGATGTCGGTTTCGAGGTAAAAAAATTCCTATGGCTGAAAACCTCTAAGAAAGATGCGATTACAATCGTATCCGTATTCGCGATTACGATTTTGCTCATCACTGGTGTACTACTGACACCAACGAAAATACCAAATTTGATTAAATTTAGTGACACGTCGAACCGGTTGGTAAAGCGTTAATATGGATAATTGAGATTCCATCGCAATGGTATTCGCGTTCGAAACCAGTTCTAACCTAGACCTAGCCCAGACCTAGAATACAGAAAGTCGGACAAAAGTTTCAGCCGGTACGGTCGGCGAACAGTTATGTAATCAACTAAAGATACTCTAATGAATTTATTTTGGTGATGCATAAAGTAATTCTCGTAGCCGATATACGTGTAACCGCGAGAACGAGTAAACCGAAAACGCGTTGGCCTAGTTAGTCCGCGAGGGTCGCTAGCGCCGCTTGTATATCAGCTGGATAACACGTAAGTAAGAAAGCTAGCCAAGCCGATCGAAGGCACACGAAACCGTTCGTGTCTTCGGAACGCACACGGGGAGGACGGAACAGCGGACTTGGCGAAAAACGTTATTCGGAATCGATCGGCGCAGCCGTGCGCCCCGCTATCGCGAACAATACGCAGATTTCGAGAGATATTTGCGCTAACCTACAAACGGTACTGAAATTTTTAAGACGTCGCTGCGACGCCAAGATTTCCCAGTAGTACTATTCTCGGATCGCATTGTCAAATATTAAAATCCGTGATTTAAGATCCGTCGTAAATAATACCCCGTATCTAGGACGAACATTCCACCCGGAGCTGGGCTAAAGTTTATTCGAGCAACAGCTACGTTCCAATGGAGAACAGACGAACGATCGTTTATCTTCCGTTCGACGTTTTTATCCGATTCTAATTGTCAACTATGCGAAGAACGGATCGCGTCGGTATGTTCCTGTTCTTCGATCCGAATATCGTAAACGCGCGTTCGTCCTATGGTAACGAAAATTTCATTGGAAAAAATCGACGACGGGATATCGTACCGTTGAAAAATGACGAAACGCGAGGACGGGTAGAGAGGAAAAATCGAACGGTTTAGAGATTGTATGGCGTTACTATCGTTGCATTATTCTATGGTACACGCTGAAGGGCCAAGAATAGACGCGCGCTCCCAGGGTTAAAACGTAAGCATTCTTCTCTCGTCTGGTTTGCGTGCGACGGCAAAACGGAGCGGATGAAAACATTCACCGTGTTAGAGAATGGAGGTTAAGTTTACATTTCAATAAACAAGGCACGCGCGCTAAGAATATAATCGACAAATACGCGTACTAGTCTCGACGGTAATACAAAGAAAACAAATCGTTTAATAACGCGATCTTTACACACCTCACATTCGTAAATTCGTACAATCTGAGATCCCCACGACACGAGTATGAAATAAAAGAATATATTATCTCGTCGACGTACAAGATTTAGAAAAATAACTCGTCGAATTAATTCCCCGAATGAAATTCGAACACGAATTCGATGACTTTTCAGAAATCGCAGAGAGAGACTATCGCGACACTGTTTGCGCGTATTACCCACCAGTCACCGGCGATGTTATCGCGTAAAAATCTCGCACGTTTTACGTAATTACCCGTGGAGCACCGAACTTCCGCGTAACGATCGCTGAAAGTCGGTAAAGTTTTCTGGGTGGGCGCAAAACAGGGTCAATTGTTACGCAACAAAAGTTGCTTGGCGTGGGTAACTTTGCGTACGTCTCTCGGAATGTAGCTGCAGCATCGAATGCGAGCGAATCCCGGTGTCTCGCGTCGGTATGAACCAGGGGTGCGCAACTCGCGTAGACTCTAGGGTGAAAATTCGAACCGGTAGGTGTACACTGTCGGGATCGCAGCCGAGAGGCCCACGCGTGTCACGTCTATATATACGGACATTTTCATGACATAATAAACAGTGTAAAGATGCTCCTGAAGCATACATATACATGTACATACATACTTATGTGCACGCTTTTTTCAGCGCGCGCGCGCGCTCGTGAATACGTCTATGTATCGGTATACATTGATATATAGGTGTATAATAGATATGAGATTCCACGAATACAATATGATATAAAAAACATATAATACATATATATTTTTAGGAGCATCTCTATACACAGCAGTGTAAAGATGCTCCTAAGCATACGTATACACGTACATACATACTTATGTGCACGCTTTTTTCAGCGCGCGCGCTCGTGAATACGTCTATGTATCGATATACACTGATATCGATAGGTGTATAATAGATATGAGATTCCACGAATATAATATTATATAAAAACATATGATACATATATATTTTTAGGAGCATCTCCATACTGTTTATTACGTCATTAATGTGTTCGTATATATAGACGTGACACAAGTGAGTCTCAACGATCACACGCATGACACACACATAACGCGGAAAAAATGGGTGAACATAAAATTCCATGTGAAGGTAATAACGGAATATCTATCTTCGGCGACGAGCTTTTTGATATTGGATAGAAGCTGGCGAGGCAGCTTCGGGACGAAAAGATTATCGAGACTTCGTCTCGCATAACTAATGAACGATACAATGGTTGTACGAAAACGCGTGTACGTTGGTTAGATTTTTATAATTCTGTACAATAGCTAACGTGTTTCAGAGCCGATCGCGAATGTACGAATGAGACGATTGGTTATACACCACGTGATACTTTAAGTGCTTCACGTATCGCGTTGGATCGAATGCCATAAACTGTATAGTTAAAATAATAACCGAATCGGGGCGAAATATTGTTATTCCAGATGTTGGTATCGTCCAAGGTCTGAAACGTTTCACGCGCAAAAGAGGAAGACTCTCTGTTCGAAATTTCAGACGATTCGTGAGAGAACCATGTTGAAAATGGTTGATAATATTTCACGCATTTTATGCCGCGCGAGGCCACTCGCTCGTTCAAACGTGATGCGGTGTAATCAAAACTAAAAATAGAAATTCATAATCTGTCAGTATACGCCGTATTGAAAAAGTGACGTTTTCTGTTCGAAATTGGAACAATTAGAAAGCAATCGAGCCGAAGAATGGCTACAATCGGATATGATATAATTAAATTTTTGTCGATTCGAACGCACACCGCGAAGATGCGCGTAGAGTATGTACCATGTGACAACTCCGTCACGGTGCTGCCGAATTCCTTGAAACCAACAATGTACGCTGAAGTTTAAACGTTCGAAAGGGGAAAAATGGAAATCGAACGCGAGTATTTTCTTAGGGATACATCGCGATTAATCTCTGGTTCGTTTTGAACAAAATGCGTGGAATTCGTCTAGATTCAAAGTGAAAACGAAGACGGACTGATTGGAGGGGGGGAGGGAGGGGGAGGGGGGAGTTCCTGTTAAATCAGAATGTCCGTAAAACAGTTCCGTAAAATTCTATAAAAAAAAAACAAAAGTGTTTTTCCATTTACAAATTTACCTCTGTACGAATACAGTGCGTGTCGATCGTTGAGAAAGATATATAAGAATAAATGGCACGCATTGCACTGTTTGTTAAGAGGAAAAACCTACACGTTCGGAAGAGGAATAATTCGTCACCTCTGGTGTTTATTTTAATACGTATTGGGGAAACGTTGACACCGCTTGCCGAGGAGGTGCCGAAGTCGAAGTGACACAATCTTCGTGAAATTATCCAATTTTAAAATAACACAGAGAAAAACGATATATAAGTCTGGGACCTAACCCCAATGTTAGACTGCGGAGTACTGTCTGTTAAATGGAGATTTTAGCGTATTATTATTCGGTGCGTGATTGACAACGCGACCGACTTGTAAAACGCTAAAAAATACGACGAGGAAGGACAGAGAGAACGAGATACGAATAAATGAACGGCTGAATGGTGGGCAATCCGAAAGAGAGGATAAGTCTCACCTGCCTGGACCGTGACGAGGGTGCCTGCTAAATATAGCATCCCCAGCAGCACAAAAGCAGCTCGCCTCTCCATCTCGTGGCGCTGATGTACGCGGTGGCGCGTGACTGTGTGCACTGTGCAATACTAACGATTCTCGTATGAGGAAGGTTTCTTAGGGTAGAAACCACGAAATAAGGGCGCCTAGGCTGGGCTGCCGTAGCTCCGTTTCCGCGATCGTAGCCGTCGTTGTCGTCGTTGTCGTCACCCGTAGCCGTCGCTGTCGCCTCCTGTAACACCCTTCTCGTTGTCGGCAGCTCCTCCTTTTCGGCTGTCCACTCAGCCAACTACGATCGAGCCCCACTACTCTTCAGCGATCGTTTACACACGTACTCGTCACTTCGAGCCACGCCGTACCATTGACGTCTAAATTCTCTTATCGTTATCTCGCGTCGCTTTAATCTCGGTGCGCACAACAATACCGCGATCCAGTCCACAGCACCGTCCCTCGACTGCCCGATCGTCTTCGCGATCGCCCGAGAACTCGACGGCAATTAGCACCACGGAGCCGCAGCAACGGCAATGTCAGGAAAAATGGCCGCCACTGTCTTCTGCTTAATTTTCTGCGCGGGATCTCTCTTACTTTCTCGCTTCTCGTTCCCTCCTTTTCGCTCCCCGGCACACTGCTCCCATACGTCCTCTACGTCCGTCCTGCGACCTACTCGAACGCATGCGCATCACACTCTCTTCTACACTAGATACGCGAGCGATTTTTCAAACAGACTTTTTATCACGATCAAAGAATAAACAAATGATATCGAGCGCCGATACGATTGTTGAATTAACTCGCAATCAGTGTGATTTTCTAATTGGGCTTGGCAACACGGTAAGTTCTCGATATAAATAGTTAATACGTTCCTGAGTTTACCGCGTAAGTCGAATTCTGTGAATACGATGTATCACCCGAGAGAAAAAAAAGATCGATCCAGAATTAAAAATGACGTGGTATTACCTGTGAAGGAAACGTGGGCAGAGTCGAATAATTTTCACTTGAATTTAGTCTGAAAAGGTTGACTAAAACGTTTCACCCAATGCGATCCGTATTTCCTTCCAAAAATGAAAGTTCTTCCTTTTATCCTGCAAAACATTTACCACGTTACCACAAGACATGATGTAACTTAATGATAAACTTCGTCTAAAAAATATATTTATAAATTCAAAGTCAGACAGATTTAACTTATTTCACGTGGAAAAATATTATCACAAATGTTTATCTTTTTTTGTAAGAATGCGCCTCGTGAAGATTCAGTTCTGCCAACTTTGAAACATATAACGATGACATGATATATTTACTAAAGAATGACAGAACGTTTACGAATTGTTTGGATTAATTAATAACAGTAATTACATTTATAATCAAATATGCAAGAATATTTGCTTACACTGATTCTGCATATTATATATATAGGGAAAACTCATCAGCTCTGAAACCAATCAAGCTCCGAAACCATCTCTTCTCTTTTGGACAAGTAACTTACATTGATCTTACACTGGTGTAAAAGCTGGTGACTTTCTCAGAATTGACAAGTGCAGGTACACGTAAGTATCTGGTAAAACATATTATTGTTGGTATGACAATTATTCTTTGTAAATAAGTAAATTTTATTTTGTCTGCAACCGAAATGAATAAGCATGCATTTTTGTATTGCAAAACGAATCCTGATTATACGCAATACTCAATCAGCACTCAATCGTCAATTTATGCTTTCAAATTCCAGCGTGGCATTTATTAATTCCTACAAACATTTCGTTATGTTCCATTTAAAGAACAAATTACGCAAAATTATAGAGTCTAAGATAAATCTTATCGTAAGATTTCATCACAAAAGATAATAAGGTCTAAGATAAGTAAAATTTAGAAAATCCCTTATAGATAAAAGTAGCAATTAACTCCCTCGATAAGTGCATGATAAATCATTATAAAAATATTTTACACGTTAAACTAATATCATAAAATTTGTAAAAATTTAATAATCGAAAGTATCACCCTTTAAAATTAAATATACTAATTTTTGCAGTAACTTAAAGATTATGGCAAAAATGAATAAAGATTACGAAAAATTAAGAGGTGTAAGCAAATGTTTCACAGAGGAAACATTAAAGGAGATACTTTGCAATGTACATAAAGGAGAAAAAGCAAATGTATCGAATTGGGAATTTGATGAAGCAAATGCTAAAGGAGATAATTATTTGTCAACTGTTAATAAAATTAAGGTTACTGGAAATGTTGATGGTAAAGAAGCCCAAGTTAGTTTGGTAGTAAAATCTCTGCCAACAAATATAGGCAGGAGGAACACGTATAGAAGTGTAGAATTCTTTCGAAATGAGACTCAGTTTTATACAAAAGTAATACTTCTATTATTATAAGATGAAATAATATTTTTAAAAATTTTAATTCATATCTCCTTTTGAGGTGATTCCAAAATTTCAAGAGTTTTTAAAAGATAAAGGCCAAGAGAATCTATTATGCATACCACGACATATGGCTTCTTGTATGGATGGTGAAAATGATTACATAGCAATGGAAGACGTTACTCTTTTAGGGTTTAAACCCCTTGCTAGACAAGATTGCATAGATGGAGACAAATGTGCCATGATTTTGAGAGCTATGGGAAAGTTTCATGGGATTTCTTTTGCATATAAAGATCAGGAAAAAGACTTTACAAAGCTTGTAGAAAGTTTACATGAAACATATTTCAGCGATGAACACTGGAATTGGTATAAGAGATTTTTTGTAAGTTTAACATACGACTATTGTCAATCAAAAAATATCACTATGAAATTTAGTTTCTGTAAATGATATTCGCTCTTTTTACAGAAAACAATAACAGATATTACACAAAATGCATTAGCAACGGAATACCCCGATAGCGCGGCAGAGAAGCGTTATGAGTCTTACAGATTCGGTAGTCTTTATCACAAAGCTGCAGAGTTTTGTAAACGCACGCATCAACCAACATCTGTTATAAGTCATGGTGATTGCTGGGCTCCGAACTTTTTATCTCGCGAACCAAATGGAAATGAAATTTTAATGCTCGATTTTCAATTGACAAGATGTAGCAGTCCAATCTTAGATATATCAACATGCATTTACGCATGCACTGATAAAACAGTTTGGGACGAACAATTCCATAAATTATTAAAAGTTTATTATGATGAGCTTTGTAATACTATTACTTTACTTGGTTCAAATCCTGAGAACCTATATTCTTGGAACACATTTATGAGCGAGGTGAAGTACATTTATATTTTTTATAAAACCTGATATGATTGTTATTAGCAAGATTCGCAAAGTTATATAAGAAATTATTGCAGGTGAAAGAACAATTCGGTTTTGGCGCAATATTTGCAATGGAGATTATTCCACTTAGCTTGCTGGATCAATCGGATACATTCGATTTAGACGCTATTATAAAAGACGATAATGCGGTAGATATAGCCGATGTATGGACGATATCGAATATTAAATCCCAAAGTGGAAGACTCAGACTAGCCAATGTTTTTGTCCATGCAATCCAAAATGAATTTTTATGATTTTAAAATGCGAGGTTTATACCTTCACCTATACTACGTATGTCACAAATACCGCTTTTACATTCCTATCCGATCTAGCGAAACAAAATATCGAGTCGCATATATTTTGTACATAATGTTTATTAAATGTGTAGCATTAAATAAAATAGAGACAATCTGTATTTGTATAATTTCAATTATAACAACATAGTCTAATTAAAATATAATTTGTATAAGAGTAGATATAGATACCCGTCATTTATTTATTTGTAAACAACGGATTTTTAAAGTTTTTCTTTTATCACTCACTTATGTTAAGGAATTGAAGATGTTTCATAAAAACATCTCACTTTTGTTTGACAAAGTACATCTATTGCTGGAAAGCATTACTCGTAAAGATGAGTGCATTGTTGAATGCATTCTTGATAGTACAATTTGACGTATGCAAGCAAGCAATTTTATATGCAAAAATATTAAAAAATGTATGTGCCAAGTTTTTACAGTGTATATTCATATTCTGAAGAACACCACATTTATGAGAAAATTTGTCACGTAATCAAGACTTTATGTCGCAATATAATCAACATACTTTATGCTGATTATGTTCTATAAATTCTGATGTTGAACATTGTTCGCAAGAACATTACTGGCATCAAATACGGTAGTATCTTCGTCGTCCTCCTCATCTAGAGGTAACGGTCGCATTTCAACATCCTGTCTGTGTGCAAGAATACCATACTTTCTGACCATTTGGGCACGTGTTTTACTTAACCTGTAAAATAATTGGTCTAAAAACGAACTTTAAAGTAAATGTCATAAACAAGTATCATTGATTTGAAAGCAGTTCAGGAAGCTAGGTTTAGGAAGCTAAAAAGAACTTCAAACTTTTAATGATCGTTAAATACCTAAAACTACGGAACATGATATAGGCCATAACAAGAACACTTAGGCCCACAAACACGTAAAGACCACGCTTTAGAGCACCGGCATTTAAAGTAGGTGTGTGTCCTTCAGCTGCATGCTGTTGAAAAGATACATAATTAGCAATTTAGTATAGCTAATGGAAGAAACCATTTTTGTAATTCCAGGGCAGAGTTAATCAAACAAATTTTAGCGAAATTACACTGGGGTGTAGTGGAATGACAAAGAAATTAAAAAGTCACTTCATAAAAATAAGTTAAAGTCAGAAAAAAAAACTAACCTCTCCTCGTGGCTCTGTAGTATGTACAGTTTTATTAACATCTAACGATGGCTTTGAGGTTATATTGTTCACAGTTTTATTACCCTCGGGAATTGTACCACCGACTGATACCGCGATTTGTTGCTCGCCTTTTTGCGCGCTATTTTTTTGGAGAACTCCATTACCACTTTCGTCTATCGATGGTGCTTCAGGTACCTTCTTGTTTATCTTAAAACTTCCATCGCATACTGCGCTCTGTGCTAGGAGGAAGATCAACAGAAGTCGAACAAATTTTATCTGGATCTTCGAGCGCGTCATTGTCCTGTGTCATCTGGGAAACAAATTCTAGGATGGAAAACAACGTAGCACTACGTGTTGACGTTTAACCGCGGGCTCCATGTTGACCCGGCTTATGCGACTAACATCTTAACCCGTTTTGACTTCAACAGCTGTTTCGCGGTATACTCACGAACACCGAATATACGTATGCTATGCACAATCAAATGGATTTACGCGCGATGGTTAAATATAGACCGCAGAACATCAACAATGCTCATTTATATATACGTGTTTAAATTTATTTCGTGCTCTACTTGAAAGATGCTCACTCTACGGTATTTCAAGCGTTCGCAATTATAAAGAATGAATGTGTCGAGACTATCGAAAGATTGTAGAGAATTTCGTGTGACTAATTAAAGATAATTAGTTTAAATTAAACACACATGTGTTTAACACACGCATCATGTGATGTGCTACGTTTACAATACGGATCGAATCGCTTCGAATCTGTGACGTCAGGTTCGATTTCCTTCGAACATTATAATTATTCGATATTAGGTCCAATCGGGGTCCAGTGTTTAACGAGGTTCGACGAAATTATACCAAAATCTGAACCTGAAATCTGTAAATTATGCTTTAAAAACAGATACTAGATAAAACGAAGTTACGATAATTCACAAAAAATTTCATTTCGGTAGTTCAAATTCTAATTTGTATTCAAGAAGTGACGAATAGTCGTTCCTCTTTTCCTTGTTACATGGATATGAAAATATCGACCATCTTTGCTTGAATGTTTTTTCGAATATCTTGCAAAGATTCGAACGCGAATGTTATCCCCACTGAGTTTTGTGTACGCTGTCAAAACGCTGCGAGATACATATAGATCGACGTGCGTAGGTATTTAACCAATGAGAGAGAAGAATTTGACGCGACCATGCGTATAAGTGTACATACGCGAACGGCAGTTGGAGTGGTTGGGTTGGACGTTACGAGTTGGGCGCAATACACATTGGGCTCTTATTTTGATTCGTAGAGGAGGCCCTCACCTCGAAGAAACGGGTGGCGGAACGTAAAGGATCCATTGGGGAAAGTCGAGGATATAGGTCACTAAGTACTGGCAAAAACATGATACACGCTGGAAATGGGGGTGTTGTATATTTGGAACAGTTAAAAAGTTCGGAAGAGAGCGACGCGACGGAGAAGGCAACGTCAAGAAAGTGCGAGGGGCAGCTGTCTTTGGCGAAGGCAAACAGCTGTTCGTCCTACAAAGGTGCAAATCGTACGACAGAAATGGCGCAAGAGGACAATAATCCGTGCTGGAATAACCTACCCAGTGTCATACTACAGGAAATATTCTCGTATTTGCCCCACGACAGCCGGTTGAAAGCCTCCCAGGTATTCTTGAATTTTTTTTTTTTCTTGTCAAGGCCATTTAAACTTTGACCTGACACAGTGGGTAAACCAAACTGCCATATCGAAGTTTCGTTCTTCTCATTTGACGTTTCGTGTATCGTGCACCGCGACCAGTCGCCGTGTTCGTTGCTTTTTTTCCGCGAATAACGCGTATTTATCCTTTGTTTACGTTTCGAGTGTCTATTTTAGTAACTGTCATGCGTTGGTGGCGACTTTTCAAAATAGCAGGGGTTAACGTGGTAAAAATAATTTGTTCGAATATAATTTCCGCAGGTTTGTAGAAATTGGAGGTACGCTTTGTTCCATCCTAGCTTTTGGAAGAAAATCACGTTCGCTCTCGAATACGAAGACAGTATTACATGGGCACGGTGTGTAAAATTATTATTCACAAATTATTGAAACCACTTAAACGATGTTACAATTTCCTTCCTTCATTATTTTTATAGATTCTTGGGAGAAAGTTTCGGACTCAGTGTACACGAAGCTACGATTCGCTGTGATACGCCAAATCATGTTGCTGACGAGACACTGGCCTTGTTGAAAAAATTGAGTTGCAACAGACAACTGCGTAAATTGTTTTTGGAATCCAGCAGGAGCTTCTTCGATTACGAAGATGACGAGGATATCAATGGATATGAGACGCCGCTGATAAAACCTCTTGTAAAAATTATTGAAACGTCTAATCGTTTAGAAGCTTTGAGTTTGGGATGCATAGAAGAATTAACAGCAAGTGCCGGTGTAATTCTAGAACCTCTGCGTCAGCACCATGCCAACCATCTGACAATTCTCAGTTTGGCATCCGTTAGAGACGATCCGGACGATTACGACTTTTTGGAACTTGGGGTCGATTACGAACTTTTCTTTAACTCGTTCAATAGATTGTCTATTCTGACTCTGGATTATGATTTCATAAGCGATTCTCTTCTAAAAGCATTGGATACAGGCACCGTTGAAAGACTTGTAATTCATGTGCACGGTTGGAACGAACATTACGCGGGAACAACCGACAGCGCTTGGCAAACTTTTGTTCAAAAGAAGTAAGCGATAGTATAAGTTATTCTATTACTTTTTATTCTATTCCTGTTACTTAGAAAAAATAAATTAACGAATGAAATTCAATGTTTCTAATTACAGTCCAAAATGTGAGCTGAGATTGAATCTTATACACTCCTATGTTGGCATTGATATGTTGCATTCGGTCATACTTCGTCGTTCCATGCCTCTGACACACTTAAAGGTGTTATTCTGTGAGAATGTTAACATCAGGGCGTTACTTGTATTATCCAGTTGGTATGACCTTACTTTAAAATCTTTAATATGGATCGACTCGATAGATCCTCTACGAATCATGCCAGCAACTTGCGATCCAATCGAGCCCGACAAGTAAGCGATATTATTTTATATTATGTCGCTATCTTTAATTTTTTTTATTAACCAGCGTGTTTATTATTTCACCACAGCCCCGATCCATTAGTACTTATTGCATGGAAGTGTACCAAACTTGTGGAAATTGTATTCATAGGCCACAAATACTGCCAAGAAAATTTGTTAGCTATTGCACGTCTACGAGGATGCTCCCTAAAGTCATTAGTGTTTGCACAAAGAGATATTACATCCTACAATGAATCATGGCACAAGGCTGAAAGCATCACACACGTAAGCTCTTACATTTACTACTAACGTTTGTAAATTGTTCCTATATCATTTTGTCATTTATATTAAATGCGTGTGTATTAAATTTGATGTACCTAGGAAATACAAGTAATAATGGGTCATCGGTGGGAACCTTTAAGCGACGCAGATTTACCCGCAGTTGTAATGGATCCATTCAAAGGTGACAGCAGAGACGTGATCATGCCGTTGGTCCTCCGCGACCAAAAGTAATTCCGAATGCACATCAAGAAAACATTACTCCCCAGTACCATTCACCGACACCTCCAACAATTTCTGGGCGAGCTACATTCTCAGAAGTAAAGTTACGAAGTCATATTCTTTATTTTTCTATAAGATTTATTTTTACGGGAACTATGGATGATGCATCAAACAGTGAACACGTGTAAATTCGTAAACCAAGATTAATAACTAAAGGGGTTACACTGTCAGGTAAGGATCACACAGTTCCAATGTGTAAATAGCGAAGGTAAAAAACGCACACAAGTTCTCCTGCTTTACAATGATTTTTATCAGTTCACGTAAGAACGTGACAAGCCATAGTTGACTATGTCTTTCTTGGGTCCGCGATGGGGTACCTAAATTAAGTATAAATCACCCCCAGCGAATGAGATGATCTCCTCGTTCATCGAAATGGAGAACGAAACGATATGCGATGGTTTCTTTCACGAGAAGCCTTTTTTAACGGAGTCTATCGCTAACAGTGGTGGGCTCGAAATGGTCAGCTTAAGAACAAAATACTTATTAATGATCGTTCCTCTCGCCAATGAATATTAGAAAGAAAAAGAAAGAAACGTATATATATTATATAAAAATATAACAATATTCTTGGTAGATACTAAGAACCAAGCATTACAAGACGATCGAGGTCTTTCTAGACAGACCTTATGCGTGATGTGTACCTGTTAATATCACAGGAAGTGTGAATATCGAACAAAAATGAAGGCAATACACGTTACAATGAGAGACGATCATCGCATCGAGTAAAGAGAGGACATGAAACATTGAGATTAAAGAAGAGAGGAGAAAGGGGCCGATCTCACGATGTTCCACTGGAAAGCGTAACGAAATTCCAAACGTATGTAAGTAGAAACATGTTAACAGATATTTTTCCAATTCTATGGGAATTTAGATCAAGCGAGCGCCAAGAGCATGCAGTGTAAGAATGAATAACTAACAAAAAAAAAAATGGTGAAGATTTCGCGAGAAAGAGTTTGTGATCGAGTTGCGCAGATATAACAAAGATGCACTCAGTAAGAAGTCGAACAGCGTTCCGAGGTTATTTTTAATACCAAAACCAATCGGACGCTTTTGTACAAAATATTAAATGAACGTGTGCCGAGAAGAGTGCGGTCGATTTGGTGGTATGCAAATCAGTTTGAAAATACAGAGCTAGTATATCGCGTTAGGATGATATCGTTTATGCTTCGACATCTTGTACGACCTCTTCGAGTACCGTCTCTTCACCGTGCTCTTAGCGACCGCTGGAAGTGAACACAAATATAGTTATCTATAAAAGAAATCAGAGGAATTAGTTGCTAATCGTGTATGTGTATATGTATGTATATCTGTATTATCTATCGAACTTTAAACGTTAATATGCGGATGCCGCGCGCATCTGTTTCTGTCGTGCGATTAATGATGACGATTCCGAACGTTTAAAAGAAAAAAAAAAGAAGTATGATCCACAACACAAAGAAAACAAAGAACTACCAAAAGCAACAACAACAACAACAACAACAACAACAATCGTAACAGACAGTTTACTATTTTGAGGAGTTCTTTACTTTTTTTCGAACCCTTGTATAATTATTATTACATCGTCGTGTATCGTACTTGTAGTCACGTATACCATTGTTTTTTATATGTGGTTCTGTACATACATTCATGCGTTATAAAAGAAGAAATTGGACACGCGCAAATATCGCTGTGTTGCGCCCGAATTTAAAAAAGAAACAGGGAAGAGGATAAGAGCAAGCGAAATAATATATAGACCCATTTGTTCGAACGAAAGAACAAGAGATTAACGAGAGAGAGATAGAGAGGAAAAGAATAACAAGATACTACCGGAGGTTCGATCGGGAGAGTTAGGCACAAATGCGAGGAAAAAAACTATTTCGTTTTGAAATGATTATATGCTGTTAATACAAGATGAACGGGCCTTAATATGTACCTGAGTCGCGGTAAGAGTAAATTTACCGAAACAAAATATCTAACACGCGACAGTCACCATAAGAAAATAATCGTAGACACCTTAACGGACATTTTCTTTTTTCCGGCGATTCGCTGGGCCAACTGTCGGCGTATCGCCCAAAAAAATGCTCGACAAAGTTAAGGTATGCTCGTGCCCATTCATTTCGTATTCCGCGCGCGTTGTATTGTTTTTAAGTCGGGAAAATTCTCAGCGAATGGAACCACGACGTTTATATAGCGATGCTCCAAGAATCCTCGCGAACAAACGCGATCGACACCACTCTTTGTTCGCTGACCATCAGCGCCGGATTAAGATTTCGCAGACCCCTGGGCTATAGGTACTGTGAGGGCTCCGCGGTAATACTTTTCGAAAAGAAGGAACGATGTTGAAGACAAATTTGATTAATTTTTACACGGCTGCGATCGCTATTGGAAATAACAAGAAACAGTTTGAAAATGTAATAATACAAATGCAACGTAAATAGTAGTGGATATCACGTACACTCATAGTCCGTAGCCTGAGAGTCGATCTCGTAAGGCCCCTGGGCGGTAGCCCCTAGAAGCCCACGCCTTGATCCGGCCCTGTTGACCATTAACGCTGTGCGGATGGGCCAAACTTTATTTACTAAGGGCCTGTTTTTTTATTATTATTATTATTATTATTATTATTATTATTTCTCTTCGTACGTGTTTATTTTTGTTTTTTAATCGAACGAAGTCCCGCATAAACAGTATATTCGCGGGTGCGGTACCCGACGTGTGAGTCCAGAGAGAGAAAGAGAGCGCGCGCGAGAGAAAAAGAGTATAAGAGCGAATAGTGTGAAAGAACATATATGCGAGACGATAGCGTATGAAAGAGAACGGAATTATTAAAAGCGAGAAAAATGATAATGCGTTCGGATATATAACGATGATATCCAGTGAGTAATAGAGACAGAACATAACAAAAAAAAAAAAGAAAAAAAATACGAAAAAAACAGGTAATCAGGTGATACGTAGTACCATCTCTGCGAATCCTCTGTACAAAGTCGTAGAAAAGAAAGGCAACTCGTGCAGCCACCGCTTAACCGAAAGGGCACAACCCAACTACTACACGTATATATCGATAAACGCGATGACAAACCAAGCATAAGACTGAACCTGCCGAGAAAGGTATACACACACCAGTTAGGCGGGCTGCACGTTGCCGCGTTCGACCTCATATTCATAAAGAAAAGGGACGAACCCGACTAAACGGAAAGCGCATCGTTCCGCGAATCGTCGAAACACGAAATCTCGTGTTTAACCTTATCGATAAACGCTCGTCTCGATACGATAATGTCTCCCTTCTCGATCAAACCCCGCGTTTGGTGTGCTTGTTCAGAAACCATTCCCCACCACCGTTTGTGTTTCTTCAAACGAAAGACTTTTATATTTCACGTTTTTATCTTTACGAGAGTGTCACAGGTACATCAACGGTCTCGCATTTATTTCACGAATGCGAATTTCCAAGCGATTTTTGACACTTTGAGGAAGAACGCCATCTTTACAGCAAAAGAAACGCTGACAGTTGGGAATTTTTGTTTGCATTGCCGAGCGTCGAATGAAAATGGTTTTCAGGAAAATATTAGCTGCAACTTCGTTACCAATAACTAGCGTTGAATCGAGTAAAAATGCATTTGAAATTCAGGTCGAACACGCTTATACCTTCGTTCGATAAACAAAGATCGTTTCTTCGTAATCGTAAAGGTGGCGTCTTTCTTTAAGCGAAGTTAGGTAGCGATTTTTGCCTCGAACCGAGATCGAGCAATTCCTGATCGAGGTGTCGCGTTCCATTCACTGTCTTCTCCGAGTACAAATTCTCGACCGACCCGCCGTTCGCGATAACGGTCGGTCCCGATCTTCTGTCGAGAAGGGAGACATTACCATAGTTGGCCCGTTGAAAACGGTTTTTCTTTACCTAACGTATTCAGCTTTCCGTGTTAGCTCGCGGCCCTCGTCTATTCGCCACCGAATTGAGCCACGCGAACGCCAATTTATGAATATAAGCGTCGTTACACATAAAGGAAGAGATGGTGCGCCAGCTAGTGTTTAGATCGGATAACAGCCCCCGTTACGAAAAAGCTCGCTCGACGGCGGTTCTCGTAGCCGATTAATAACTAACCTTTAAGCCAGCCTGCCAAGAATCAAAATACTGTAAAATATCAAACGAACGGTAGCCAGTACAGAATGCTAAGATCTATTTTTTAAGAAGCGAATGTATATTTTTGTACTAAGGCAGGCCTTAGTGTGAATCGTGTATTCTTGCGCGCGATGGCAAGACGAGAGCTGTGATCGTTATATCGCGTCGGCTTAGCGAGAGAACAATACCGGAGAGAGAAATGATGCTCTAAAAGAGAAGAACGTTTACGGAAGAACAGGGAAGCAAGCATAAAAGAAACAAATAACTGACGAGCGTCCCTGCTTAAATATTTCGAAATGAACCGTATAGGTATTATAGGGGCGACGATAAAAAATCGAGAACAAAACATCTGTGATAAAAATGTAAAATCTTAGAATGGGTGCTCGAGAGATGGTGACGAAAGAGGAACAAGCGTGTGTTGAAACGATGCGAAACTACGAAACAGAGGGTGGGGGGAGGGAGGGGGGGAGGAGAAGAACGGGAGAAAAGTAGATAAAAACAAAACGGAACCCTGTGTGTGTATTAGGAAAAATGATAACGCGCGAGACTTGCAATTCCTACGAAGAAAAAAACAAAACGTTTAGAAAGCGCTTTTAGATCTATCGTGCGAAAATGTTCGTCGTGTGTATGACTTAATTGACGACAGATGGAGACTGTCTTTCGACGACATAGCCCGGTCTAACTATTGTAGTGGGTAACGTCTTGACATCCTTGTTCAGTTGACGCTTGATTTTTCGTGGGTTTTGATGTACGCGAACGTTGCTCACGCTCGGATGTGAACGGAAGGACGTGAAAATAAACCCGTTTCAACGAGGGATTGCGGTTTAAAAGAAGTCGCCGCGAACGATCGGGGACTTTGCATCGAAACTCGAACGTTTACTTAAGTGTATTTCTGACATTCCACTCGAAACCATAGAGATATTATAGATAGGGTGGGACAGTCAGACCTTCGCACCACAGCTAAAAATCTTTGACTCTTTATTCGATTCGATTCACTATGCTTTCAATTATTTTCTTGTAATATTATATCGTCATATATTAGGTCGTCCCATAAGTTCGTGCCGAAGACTGTGCCGAAATTTAATAAAAAATCACAGAATGTTTCTAGTAACGGTATAATGACTATGTGAGAGAGGTGAGAAACTATTGTGAAATGAGACAGATTATCTTTTCTTGTGACACTTAAGAGTATGTTTCACATATTAATTTGAGAAATAGAAGTATAAATGGCACGAACTTTTAGGACGACTTAATAGAAAGCTAACTCAACAGATAGTCTGATTTTTACTGCGCGTGCTTTAGTAGACAGAAATAGATAAACTACCGCGGTTTCTTTTCTCTTTCTAACGGTGGGACATTTCCACATACAGCAGACCTTCTTTCCTGCTCGGTCTATGGTATCTCTACTCTCGAAACTGCGTGCAAAATAGAGGTTATGTGTACGTAATCTTGCCGGGCGTTGTTACGAGGCGTCGTAACGCCAATACGATTGATTCTGGTACCACTAAGGCCCTCGACCTGTGCGAAAGTTTCGTCGGAGAGGCCAGAGCAGATTGCGAGAAACGGGGATCTTGACGATCGATAAACACGTGTTCCTTTTCAATGGTATTCGAGACGCGAGTCGCCGTGCCCTGAACGGGACGACTTGGACGGACCCACGTGACCTCGGGACTAGTGTCAGGACGTTGTACGCCACGAGTAGTATTTATAAGTTCCTAAAAAATGAGAAAGAAAAATATTTTACACGGTTTAAGTACGGAATAGAGACGAAGAACCGGCATTACGAATAAACAGACACTCGCACGAACAGAGAGCGTTCGATTCGATCGTAGTTAGTTCTTGTATTCGTTTTTTATTATTTCGTTTTTGGTTTGTGGGATTGTAAACGCATTCGGATACACAGCACCAGCAATGTTCTTCTTCATTATCCTTTTTGTTTTTTATATATACATATCTATCTATCTATAATTTACAAGTACGTGTATAATCCATTCCAATCGAAAGGGGCGAGGCGGATAACGTGGCGGTAAATAAACGCGAATTTGGTAAACGATGATTCCGTGTTGATGGAAACGGACGAGACGAAGGGAAAATATATGAAAAACCATTGACGATAAGAAAGTGAGTGTACGGATTCGTTCGGACGCGTAGGGGTATATACAGGGTGTCCCAAAAATGTTGTAACATCTGGAAAGGGGTGGTTCGGAAGTTGATTTGAAACAACTTTTTCCTTAGCGAAAATGTTGTCCGAGGCTTCGTTGAGGAGATATTAACGGAAAACACTGACCAATCCGAGCGCGCGTATGTCGGTGGAGCAACTGCGGTAGCGTATGAGCGCGGCCGCCTAGCGCGTAGCCACGCCTACTGCCGCCGCACCAACGGTATACGCGCGCTCTGATTGGTCAGTGTTTTCCGTTAATATCTTCTCAACGAAGCCTCGGACAACATTTTCGCTAAGGAAAAAGTTGTTTCAAATCTGTATATACATATAATTACAAATGGCGCAGGCTCGATTAAACGTAAACAAAACGGAAAATCAACGCGGTTAATACTTGCGACGTTAATATGTTCTCGATTATTTTTATTACCGTCGTGTGAATATTATAGAGGGTGTCCTGCACGCTGACTGGTATTTCCATAATCGATTCAATTGTAACTCGCAAATATCAGGGGGCATTCAGTATCAAGGATGGAAGGTGCTGAAAATAGGATTGTTCTTTCCAAAAAATAACGGCTGGCAACTCCAGCAGTGACTAATAATCATTCTCGGCGTGTTTTGGCAGGTTATTCTCGGCTGAAAAAAGGTCGTACGCGCTATAGATTTATTTTTATCCGTTATCGAGAGAAGAGTTGTTCACTTTTCTGTCTCTTTGTCTTTCTCTCCCTTTGAAGGACGAAGAGCGTAGGTCTGCGAGACATACAATGGCGGTTTGGTAAGGATGGTAAATACCTCGACGACCTTAACACATGTTCACTGCGATTTTCGTAGATATTCGCACATGATTTCATGGTTTATTCGCACTAATTTCGTATTAGAAGTACGTAGACGTTTATAGAATATCAAGTTCATAGTTGAACGGATAGAATTATGTTTGCAATTAGCCAGCTAATAATTCGAACTGTACGAAATAAGACTGTCGTTTCATCGTAAATAAGAATGTCCCAATTAGCGACACGCATCGTTCGACAATCGTTAATAAGTCGATAACGGATTTGGATAGTCTCCGCTGTGTGTACGACATTTTTTGTTCAGAACGAAATAATGGAAACGCTGACGCAGTTATTGTTGCGGGACACCCTATGTTACGAGGTTCTGGTTTTGAACCACACTGTCCAACGCACCAAGGTGACACAGGCGTCGAGAGAACGATATTCCGAAGACCGCGCGCACTCCTCGATCGATACGTAACAATATTATTATAAAGATATTACCAAAACAGCGTTAGGTGTATATAAGTTTAAAAGCTGGGGACAAGCCAAACGCAAGCTATTTTTTAATCGTCGTAATCGCGGGATAAACGGAAACGAATTTCGCCGTGAAATTTTTTCCACGAATAGAAAAACGACAAAATCGCGTACTACCCAAAAGAGGGAATGGAGTTTTAGAGAAGCGAAGGAAACAAACGTGTAACCGGGCCCAAAAGAAACAGTGAATAATCTCGTTGTTGATAATTCGTTCGTAGTTTAACCGTTCGAGTGTCGCGAATCTTTCCATAAATTTGGTCGTAAAGTGGCAAGCGTCACGATCGCGTTGTTATGCTTATACAAACAAACCGAAGCAATCTGTAAATCCATTTTGACATACAAATATGCTGTCTCACTTGAATATCGTATATTTTCTAATTCTAAAAGATATTGTGATCGTAAATAATGGTAATTTTTATATAAAAGCAAACGTACACGTATGCGTCGATATTCTTTAAGAGGTTCAAGACAAGTACGAACGACTAGCAGTTTTAGCGTCGCGATCGCGTCGCGTGGCACTCGAACGGTTAAAAGGAACATAATTCCTAGCTCTAGAGACGCGTTGACCTTCCACGATTAAACACACTCGACGCGAAACGGTTGATTTCTTTCCGAAGAGACTATATAGAGATAGTGAACGCAAAGAAAGAGAGAATAGCTCTGCTCCTGTCTAAGTTTGCATGTGCATCAGAATTTTAAGACTTTGTGAGAGAAGTCACAGGAATTTACGGGCATCTGACGCTGACCAGAGATTACTAGAGTGACATTTCTCCATAATTCGTCTTCTCTTCCACCAAAGTTTCTTAATGTGAAGCGCATGCGTTAGAGAAGCACAGTCGATCTTTTTTCCTCTTACTATTCGCATTATATTTTCTCGACTGTCTTGCCTAGTCTATCTATATAATCTCTTTGGAAACGGTTGATTTCTTTCTCGCGAGCAAGCGTACGCCCAGTGCCATTGGTAGTTCCGTACTCGAAGCGCGCGCATAATTCCAGAGTGGAAGTACAGTTAGACGTCGGTAGATCGTAGTTGCGAGTGAACAAAAAAATTATTTCGAGTTACGGGGGTTTCTTTATCGCGAGGACATGCGATTAACGGTTCGATCGACGCGGTCTGCTCGAATATTCTATAATCACGAATTAACGTGTGCTCTCCTTTCTATTTTCATTTTCAACGAATGTTTAAACGAAGCGCCAGCCGTCCATCGAACCGTCGAATCAACACTTTCTCGCGCGAGGAAAGAGCAAACGAGAACGCCTCGCGTTGCAACGAATCGATGAATCGAACGCGACCATCGCCGGAGATGTGCAAAATTCTTATTCAGATAAACGTTAGAATTCCGTATAAATAAAATAGAAAGAAAATTGTATGCCACGTTGGCTGTGTAAACGTCGCGAATTAATCACTGTAACGATTAGGAATAACAGCGCGTAGCTGAGCCCTTGTTTTTATTCTCTTTATTTATTTCGTTCACTACCAGATCTTTTAAGGTACAAAAAGAACTCGTACCCGTTATTGGAATGAAATTGCCCACCTCTGGTCACTGGTCGCGCGTCATCCACGCAGTTTAGTGTGTCGCAGTAGGCACGTGTTTCGATCCCATTAGCGCAGTCCGAATCCACCTACCTAGCATTCGACACACGATCCACTCTGACGAGACACGCGTAATTTTCTGAATGTTCTATAACGTATTTAATAGGGGACAAAAAAAAAAAAAGAAGAAAAATGGAAACAAAATAGGGGTATAAAAAAAAAATCGTTGAATGTCCTTTTAACACGAAGGATCGTTTCTCGCGTTGATTTACGAGGAAACTTAGATCCTTTCTGTATACATAGGTTAGCACGACAACATAGACGCGGATAGATGTTTCGATGGGTTTGTACATGTTTAAGCGAGATTCGACGCCGCGACGCGTTAGGAGGACGTAGGCGTTTTCGTCGTGCCGTTGTCGTTATTTCTTTATTTCTTTTTTTTTTTAAGACAAAACGCGCGATTTCCAAACGTGTCGAGCGTATATATACCTTGCACCTGTTAACTTTCTCGTGTGTCGTTGATCCATTCGACGTCATTTAGCGTCCCATCGACTTTAACCCTCCGCTGCGCAGTTTCTACGATCGTTTTTCGTCGATTTAAAACCGAGAGGCAGCGCGACATGCGATTCGATTTCTTCTTTTTCTTTTTTTAAGGAGGGAGGGGATGCTACGTTAAAAAATTCGAGATCAATGTACAGTAGACTCTTGTATAACGCGATTAATACATTCGCGTCACACAAGAATCTTTCTCGTGCAACACGAACTCTCGAACAAATCCCATAGCGCTTTACGCGAAGATCGTACGACCCGAACGCGTCAAGATCTTTCCTTTAACCTCGTTTTCCGATACGATCCTTTCTTTTCTCTGTTTCCGATCGCTACCGAGTCTTTCTTTCGTGATAACTATTTTAGATCTGAATCGGGTTACTTTTAGCGAGAAATTCGCGCTGCGCGAACGCGGCGATGGGTTACGTGGAAAATGATGAAAACGAGTGGAAAGTCTTAATTGTTAGTCTCGACTTAAGGGGAACCAATCTCTCAGTGTTTCTTCGTACTATGCATATATCACGTTGTTTTCCATGTTGTTTTACTTAACGATGATAAAGAAAAAACTAACTGAACGAGTATATATATATATATATGTATATATAAAAATAAATATATATATATGTATATGTATATCGAATATATGTGTGCGTGCGTGTGTGAACGACGCTTAAAGGGACGCTTTTTTTCCTGGGTCCTCAGGGTCGTTGCTCGGATTAATTTTGGGCGAATCGATCGCTGAACCGACTTTCACTGAATGTGTTAACGATTTTAAATCTAATACAAAGAAGGGAGAAATAAACGATAGAAGAACGCACGTGACGGCGTTTGTGTGCGTCTCGAGGCATAATTATTTTTTAAGATGTATCGAACACGGAGGTTCCAGTGACGGGAAAAATTGTTATCTCGGATAAGAAATTTCGAACGACGAGCAAAAGTAACGGATCAGATGTTTAAATGAATTCCACGCCTTTATATTCGATTATTCGTAACTCTAGTTTAAGTAGCAACCTTCCAAGTATACGAACTTCGATGACCATTTGTTTGAGACTCAGATCATCTACCTATTTAGATTTATTATAGAGATGGACTCGTGCGGATCAAGTTGAGGAGTTGGAAGGTTGGTACTGTAATGTAACAAAGCGACAAGCAAATATCTCTACTTAAGCTACACTTAGAAATGATCGAATATAAAAACTTGATAGATCGAAATTTTCGTAGGTTGAGTTCTAGTCGTGATTCGTTACGCGAATAAAACGTTGACCATCTCTGGTACCTTTGCGTTCATCGATGCGCGAACATTCTGTCGGAACGTGGAATGCATCGAACAACAGGTGTTGCGTCTTGCGCCGTATTAACTCTTTCGCTACGAGGAGTACGCTCCGTAATGTCTCGACGAAGCAAACACTCGAATGGAATCGACGGATAGATCGTTTCGACGTCTGATATCGTCGATCGATTGCTATCAGTGTACGATAATGTCTTCTAATTGGGATGATCAACACATTGGAGACCGTCAATGTTTCGTTAAAAGCGAATAGCTACGAACAGGCCGCTAAGTGACTGGATAATTTACTTCCATTCATTTTTGTTTAATTTTCTTTTTAATTGAACGATTTGTTTTCGTACTCGATATTTTTTAATACAAGCTTTTTGACGATATGTACAACAATTTCATCGATAAATCGTACATAGAATACGCATAAAAATCTTTTCTATTTTAGAGCAATGTTTGTTCTTTGTTACATTTTATCGAGAATGACTTAAATCGCGCGTTCTAATTATCGAATTGTTATACTTAATTATAGAATTAAACGATTTTTAGTAACCGTAGAAAATATAAAGTCGATCGGATAGCTGACACACTTCACGTGTACGCGGACTCTAATGTGTTAACCCATCGCGGTCCAAATTTTCCAATTTTCGTCGAGTCTCGCTCGACGTAGGACCGCGAAAGATTCGTTTAGACGAAAAGACGCGATTGGTCGAGATGATAACCGTCTCTGAAGTTGTTGCTCGAGTCGCGCAGTAGCGAGAGGGTCAACTCTCTTTCGGTGTTGTTAATCGGTCGTCGAGCGACCCCCCGCGTGCGGAGGACCCGTCGCCATATACGTCGATCGTACTACCTGAACGCCCATAGGCGTTCTCCGCACGCGCCGAACAGACCAAAAACTACGCTTACAAATTTATTTGCGGGCCGCTCACGGCACCGAAAGAGCCGCGATAATAATGGATATGGTGTTGGACGTATCGACGAATAAAAATTGTCATCTTAACGGAACGGTCTTGTAATTTAAGTTAAAAATCGCGATTTCTTTTCACTTTTAAATATCCAGATTTTTAACTCGAAACCACACGACCGTACCGTTAGGTCGACCACGAGAGAATTTTACGGATAATTCGTTGAACTTGTTTGACTCTGAAGCGATACTTGGCAGACGTCATCCTAGAGCGCTACTTTGTTAATTAATAGAAATGTTCGGTTCGTCGACGTTTTCGAGACAGTTGTGTAGTTGGAGCTCGAAGCAACAGTCACGTGATCTCTCAAACAGAATGCAAACAAGCATGACGCGGAGCAAGACTCGTGTCTGTTATGATTCACGGTCGAGAAAGTGACCTTGAACGACCTATATTTCCTGCCACGAGTAGTGGTCAACGTTTCTCTGCGCGAGTTTTCCTGTAACGTATTTTTGCTGCTTAGCATTTTCGAACAGTGATTGCATTACAATGACTTCTTCGTTAATTAGTCACAATTGTGGGATTAATTAATTACCATAATCTATGCACATTTGTTGTCCGCAATTACAAATCGAGTCATACGTGATCTTCCAAGGCTAATCGAGTCTGCAAATATTCGTTAATCGTGATTGCCGATTGCTAGACGGAATCGTGGATCGCATTTTGTCAACGCTGGTTACCGGGAAATTATTTGTCGGCGAACGAACATGTCGAAAGCGTTTCGACGCGTAAGCGTTCTAGATTTTCTCGTCCGACACCTAACGCATTAGAGTACATTGTCCGTGAGCGTAAAATACGTTCAACGTATTATCCGTCGGCCATCTATTTCGGTGAAATCGTTTCAAAGGTATACGCACGCATACGGGCAACTGGAACGAGAACCGACATTGAAACAAGAGCTGAGACTGCTCTTACCGTTCGTAGTTGCGACGTTTCACTTCCTTGGGTCAACCGTTCTGAGATCAAATGAAATCGAGGTATCGAGGTTCGTTCGATTTGGTTGCCTCGTATGCGACGCCTGATAGCCAATACGGAGTCAGAGATGGACAAAATTTTATCCGAATACTAATTTCGAAGAACGAATAAAAGACACGCTGCTTTTTTTTTTTATCCATTTTTTATTCAACAATTGTACCCATTTCCGGTTCGAGAGCGCGTTGCGTTTTCGTCGAGGTAGGTCCGACGTTCGACTTGCCGCGGGATAATAAGCTGCAATCGGGAATTTGCTTTAGCGAAATGGGAAGGGCAATGCTCGATCGGAACAGTTTGTCGCGAACGATGGAAATCGATCAATCGTCGCGCAACTGTTGCAATTGTCCAGGATTGTTAACTATCGTCCATTATTTTTTTTTGTTCAATTTTTCGCATGGACGTCGCCTCGGATGGAACAATTGTACATGCAAAACCGTTGAAACTGTCGCGTAATCAGTATTCTTTCAATCCAACATCCCGTAGAATTGTACGCCGGACTATGATTTTTACACCACTTCTTCGATTATAGAAATCAAATGTTTTTTCGCAAGTATCAATGAATTTTTAAAAATGTATCGATCGATTAATAAATCGTGCATGGCATACAAAAATTCTCGTTCTTATTTCAACACGTATTTCATGTCTGGCGACCGAAGGTAAGTTCGATACTCCACTGAGAATTTCTCGAATAAAAAAATCTTTCAGCGAAAATCGTCCTGGAGATAATTATAATTTACCAAACAATTTTCCTATTTCGCATACTTTACTTTTACCAGGGGCACGTGATCTGTCTTCAAACTTTTGTATACAGTTCTTATATACGTTACACAAAATTATATACCATTGTATCGTGCATTATTCGATGTACACGGTCTGTCTAAAAAGAAACCGAACTTTTGCTATAAAAAGAAAAAAGTACAAGTAAAGTTTTTTTAAGTAAACACACACGTTTATTTACTCAAAATAATCTCTCTGCGTCAACCTGTTCAACACATTTTACCGAAAAACTAGAATATACGTTTTGTAGTAGACGACGTCAACTATTCAAATCTTTATTAAAAATAAAAATCGGTCTTACGGTACAAGCCTGATGGAAGAAAGAAAAATTCAAATTGCGATTGTGAGAAAACTACCTATCCGACAATCCACGCTTTTTGCGCACACAAAGACCATATCGATCACTACTTGTTCCCAAAAGGTCAGCGCTTCGGTTTAAAAAATGGCGGAGATACGAATTTTTGAAAAAACGCTGAATTTTCTGGTTTTCCAGATTTTTCTCCGTTCCACCTTGTTAGTGGTTCTGCGCAGACAGAAACAATTAGCTACAAAATTGATAAAACGAAGACAAATGACAAATGATGAAACTTCTCCTAAAATTGAAGTGTATCTTTTTTCTGGAGGGTGGACAAACGAAAATATCGATTGGACAAACGAAAATACTTGTTGGACAAACGAAAAACATTAGTGGACAAACTGTGGAAAGACACATTTTTTAAGGAAACCCTAAAAAAAAAAGGTCTATATAGGTGTATTAACTTCAAATGGCTTGTTTGTGGTGTAACTTTTTTCTGAAAGGTGGACAAATGAAAATTGTGGTTGGACAAACGTGGATAAATCGTGGACAAGCGAATGGAATTTGATTTTTATCAAAATTTGCATTTGGGGGTGCTAACATCACTACGCTTGGCCAGACGTTTTAAAACTGATCCGATTTGAAATGCCCTCCAATATGCCGCGTCCAGTGCCCGATTGGCGGTTACCGGTGCAGGTTCGGAGAGAAGGGAATGCGCAGAAGCACGTGGATTTGTTTAGACGACTGTCAAGCCCCTTTCGTAGGCGCATTTACAAAGTCCGTGGGGTGCTTCCGGTAAGCCCCGTAGCTAGCAGCGGCGCTTTTTCCGACAAACGATACCGGGGGCCAACGGGGGCGACAAGATCCACTGTCTACCCCCTACCCCACCGGGCCCTCACCGACTTCCCGTCTTTCGCCCCTCGTCCCGCGTCCACATGGCGTTATACACCTTCGATGCCGGCAGACAGAGACAGAGACACGAGGGGACAAGAGGCGCAGGGGAGGAGTGACGACGGCGACGATGCCCGGCGAAACGAGCGTCGGAGGAGGGGAAGACATCAACGGCGGACAAGGCCGCCATATTGAATCACTCTCGTTAATTTTTGCGCAGAGGCGGTGTGAATTTTTTCTCGTTTGCGCGGAAGGTAGCCTGGCCAAAGTTGTGCGTCTGGGATTTTGGGAATCGCGACGTTCGTTTTACGGTTATCGTTGGCACGCGTCAAAACTGTGTACAGTGCTACGGTATATGTGATCGCGTAGAACGTATCCGTTCGTATATACAATGGTAAACGCGATGCGCGTGTGTGCCGTACGAAAAAGGTTGGAAACATGCGGAAATCGTGCGTGCAGCACGGTCGCGAGGCGGTAAAGTGTGCTCGCGACAGGGAGGGAAGCGAGAAGTCCACGGCGTACACTGACTGCGGTACGTGGTGTGTGCGCCATGTCATTGTACATACGTAAGCGATAGTATAGAGCAGTGATTCTTAACCGCTGTGGCCGCGGCACACCAGCGTGCTGTGAACGGCGGCTATGCGAGTCACCGCGAATGTTTGCCAACAGACCCGATGAATTCCTATTTTTGCATTGTTTTTAAAACCGTTACACCGTACTCGTTGGGGAACGAGAACCGTGCCAAGTGGTTTTTTTTTTTTTTGAAACTCGCGCCGTGAGCCCGGGAAGACTAAGAAGAGTCTTTGCGCGAATCGTGCCCGTAAGCTCGAAAAGGTTAAGAACCACTGGATATCGAGTGTAATGTGTCGTAGTGGAGTGAAGTGAAGTGGAGTGGAAAGCGAACCGGCTGCCTTGGCTGCCTAACTGTCTGCCTAACTGCGTGCCTGCTGCCTGCCCCTGTTCCCTACGCTTCGCGTAATTGATTTGTATGCCGAACGATTTATACAAATTCAGGCCAGCTTTCCGATCGACTGACCTCCTCCCAGGTACGTGTGCCTTCCTGAACGCGGCAGGCGTTGGCGTGCGAGGGTGGTCAAAACACTACCGGTGCACCGTTCCAAGGGAAGGTGCGATTATCAATGTAGGAGGAAATACACATTGTGCACGCGGAAACATAGAGTCGCGTGTCCGTCGCCCCGTGCGAGGTGGCGTCGCACGTCGCCAACGAGCCATTCGCGTGTACTGCACGGAGCTGTGAACATTGCCCCTGAATAATCTTCGCGGCGTGAGAAATATCCCTCTTTTCAACACGCGAAACCTCCGAAAATTATTCCGAGAATAATTTCTCCAGCTGGCCACAGTCAGAGCTGGACGAAATTTCATTCCACCGAGACCGAACAATTACATTTTTACGTGAAATATTTCTACCTATAATTCAAGTTCAAATGCTTAGTCGTTTCCTTTTACCCATGATTCGAAATTCGTATCTAGGTAAGAGTTTTGCCAATCTCCTCGACATTTTCACTCGCCTACGGACAAGATTCGATCCTTTTACGCGAATAACAAATTTCGATATCTCCGGGGCTCGATGATTCAGCGTAACGTCAAACTCGCGTCGGTAACTTATTAATACATAAGCGACGATAAAAAGGCGAGACGTCGAATTGATACGAATCGATGTTACGCGATTTTGTTACGCTCGTGATTTTTCTATTTTCCTACGATAACGGTGCTCGCACAGTCGGGAATTTCAGCACGAGCAACGGAGAGTACCGTTTCTGTTTTGGGTCGGATAATTTGGTTCGCAATCAAACAATTTGCTCACCGATAAGATTAGCTCGCTAAGTTACCGTAACAGTGGCATTCGTTTATTAGGTTAGGAAGAAAGTGGAAGATTGCCGTAGGTCGCTTTAGGGTTCCGGAGGCCAGTTCAAGGATTCGACGCTCTTTACCTCGCTCGTAATTTTCTGCCAGATTGACCCATGAACAAAAGATATTTTCAAAAGGGACAGACCCAGTGGCGTAGCCAGCAATTACGGGACCCGCGTGCTGATATTTACACGGCCCTATTTTCGAGGGAAGTTAATTTATGTGATATTAGAAAGTAGTTCGATCAACAAAATATATATTTATTAAATTAAATCAAATTTGTATGCTAGATATTATTTCCTCATCTTAATTAAAACAAAAAAATTATCGTAAATTAACAGATGTAACGTTTGTTTTTATTTGTTACAAAACCAAGAACATTCCAATAAGGAAGTTTTTCCACCTTTACGCGATATATTATTCATGAAACACACAGTTATTTAAATGACCGCGTAGTGGAAGAGTAGAAACAATGTCACTGTTACGCACACGTAACTTGAATTTACTTATCTGTTCGCCGACGATCGACGAACAAAGTAACTAAGGCTGGAAATGAAAAATGTTATGACATCAATTCGAGAGTTTAGAGACCCTACTCTGTCACGTGATCTGGAAAGTGTGCAAGGCGGGAGATCCGAGAGAAACTCCGTGAACTAGTTAATTTCTTCGCGTTACGACGCTCTGAAAGCGTGCTCGCGAGAGATCGCGATATTTAAAAAAGCAAAACGTCCGACGAAAAGATGCGTAATGAAATGCCGCCCTCGAGTCGCCACTTTAAGAGAAGAGAGTAGCAAATAGCGCGGTATTGGTATCGGTGACCCATACCTTCACGAGGGACAAGACAAATAATGCATAGATAAATTTGTTATTATGCATTTGCATTTAAACAAATTTTACCGGTTAAAAAATAGATATTCGTAGAAGAGACGCAATTGCACGCTTGCACCTCCTCCCTCTGGGTGCGCCACTGGTCTAGGCAGATGTCTTGTTTGCCTTGAAGATGGGTGAAATTTTATTCGAATGGTACACGAAAGAATAGAAATTTCGCTACTCCATCGATTTAGATCAAATTCGATCCGTTCAATCCCACGGTTTAATTTCATTTTATGAAAGACTTCGATTATCATCGTTAGTAACGTAACGGACCAAAAGGCAGGCGGTTTATCTATCGTTCAGTTACTCGAGATTAGTACGAAAATTTCGCCCGTCTTCGCCTACGGGCATAATACGCCACTGCGTATTACCTAGAGGTCGCGCTCGGTTTCACCGATACAATAGTAATTACGAGATGCGTGGACGATATCAAATACACGTTGCAAAAACATTGTAACTCCTTCGTCCCTCCGGGGCCGGGGAAGGCCGGCAGTGGGGACTCCGTCGAAAAATCGATTTCCCGTAGGGCATAAGGGCGCGGGAGGTGTGTGCAAGAGGGGGGGGGGTGGTAAAGGGAGAAGTACGGAGACGAAATTCGGGAAAATCCGCAGAGAAACAGGGGGGGAGGGCAGAGGGAAAGAGAAAGAGATTGGTTTCTAGCCCGTTCCGATGCCGCCTCGTGTGGGTGAGTGGCTGACTGTCGTGGAGGGGGTAGAGAGACTGTCGACGGGGTGAGGGGAGAAATAATTAATGTGCGACCGTACCTCTCCCCTCGCGGTACAGGGCACCCCTCCCCCCTCCCCCTTCGCCACGGTCTTGTACCGCTACGCTTAGCTGCCATTGTGCCGAGACGCCACTTCCGAAGCATCAAATTCAATTCTTCGATCTCGTGTGCCGCCAACCTTC